TAACTACTACTGCTTCTTTAACTACTACTGCTGCTGTAACTACTACTGCTGCTGTAACTACTACTGCTGCTGTAACTACTACTGCTGCTGTAACTACTACTGCTGCTGTAACTACTGCTGCTGCTGTAACTACTACTGCTGCTGTAACTACTACTGCTGCTGTAACTACTACTGCTTCTGTAACTACTACCGCTGCTGTAACTACTACTGCTGCTGTAACTACTACTGCTTCTGTAACTACTACTGCTGCTGTAACTACTACTGCTTCTTTAACTACTACTGCTGCTGTAACTACTACTGCTTCTGTAACTACTACTGCTGCTGTAACTACTACTGCTGCTGTAACTACTGCTGCTGCTGTAACTACTACTGCTGCTGTAACTACTACTGCTGCTGTAACTACTACTGCTTCTGTAACTACTACTGCTGCTGTAACTACTACTGCTTCTTTAACTACTACTGCTGCTGTAACTACTACTGCTTCTGTAACTACTACTGCTGCTGTAACTACTACTGCTGCTGTAACTACTACTGCTGCTGTAACTACTACTGCTGCTGTAACTACTACTGCTGCTGTAACTACTACTGCTGCTGTAACTACTACTGCTGCTGTAACTACTACTGCTGCTGTAACTACTACTGCTGCTGTAACTACTACTGCTGCTGTAACTACTGCTGCTTGTCCTGCATCACTGCCACTGAGGGTATTCGGTCATGAACTAATGGTACAAATTGATGACTTCAAGCCATTGTTACATTCGTCCACTCTGAAGTTGTACCATGTAAATAGACATTATAGTTACTATCAATACTACTAGTAAAACTAATACTTCTATCCCCGCCATCATTACTAAACCTGATATTACTATTACTACTACTACTACTGCTACTATCATTCCTTCTACTACTATTGCTGCTAGCTGCTACTATCATTCGTTCTACTGCTTCTGCTACTACAGTTGTTACTACTACTACTACCGCCTCTACTACCTCTACAACAACAATTACAACTACCATTATAACCACCATTACTACTATTACTACTACTACCACCACCACTCTCACTATTAGTACTACTACTACATTACTACTACCACAACTACTCTAACACTAACAACAGCAATATCATTCATTCCATATTAATTTTCACTATTATTGCCTGAACTATAGCGAAGACGATATATATATATATATATATATATATATATATATATATATATATATATATATATATATATATATATATATTATATATATATATATATATATATATATATATATATATATATATATATATATATATATATATATATATATATATAATATATATATATATATATATATATTATATATATATATATATATATATATATATATATATATATATATATATATATATATATATATATACATATATATACATATATAACACATTGACAACACTGCGAAACGTACTCAGAAGCCCAGCCGCCAACCAGCAGCGTTCGTGAGCGTGAATCCGGATGTGTTTACGTTCGTGGCCTGAGTCGACTACCACGCCTGGAGCGATCTCCTCACCCTCTAATTTTGTCCGCTTTCCACGGGACGTTCTTGGCAATTTTTTTTTATCGCATTTTCTCTTGGTCATTTATATTTTGATGTATGGGTGAATTGTTCCCTTTTTTTTCTAGGTAGACGAGTTTGTTTAGGAGTTTACGAGTGGGTTTCATCATCCAAAGTCACATCTTACTGCTTTTTCCGACAATGTGAAAGGTAGTTAATTTAATTCTTTATGGAAGGAGTTATCCAGCCTTCACATGGATCAAACTTGATTACTTTCCATATACAATGTTCTGTACGACCCCCACGTGTGTAGTGCTTTTCCTTGAATATAATAATACCAATACTACTAATAATAATTATAATAATAAAATAGTAATTATTATAATAAAAATAATTATAAAAATGTGAATAATAATAATAATGGCTATAATAAAACTAATTTGAAAATGTTAATAATAGTAATAATTATAATAAAACTAATTATAAAAATGGTAGAAATATTATTAATAATAAAATATAATAATAATAATAATAATAATAATAATAATAATAATAATAATAATAATAATAATAATAATAATAATAATAATAATAAAATTAATAATAATAATAATAATATATAATAATAATAAAATTAATAATAATAATAATAAAATTAATAATAATAATAATAATAATAATTATAATAATGATAAAATTAATAATAATAATAATAATAGTTTGATCATCTAGTCATTATTGAAAACATATTTTGAAAGATGAGTTGGTCACAAGATCTTCCAGTACCAGTTTTATTGCCTCCGGAAAACACACAAAAACATTTGTTTTCTTGTAAACAAGAACAGCTTTACCTGAAAATGTAAAGTCCGATATTTTGTCCTTGTTTACCGTTAGTATTCGTGTCGCTTTTTCTTTCGCTTTTGTTGGTTTTGCTATTTTTTTTTTTTTTTTTTTTTTTTTTTTTTTTTTTTTTTTTTTTTTTTTTGCTTTGTCTCGATATAGCGTTTGTCTTTACTCCTTTTTTAATGTTATTTCTTGTGATGTGATTGATGTTTTTTCCTCCCTTGCTTCCTCCCTTTAAGTATTTTTCACTCCCTTCGTTATTCCCTCCCTTCTTATGTCCCTCCCTCCCTTACTCCCTCCCTTGGTTACCCTCGCCCTCCTCAGCGAGATGCAAGGACCTAGAATACCTTAGTCACCATTACAGAAATTTGTGGTCCAAGTTTGAGCTTTCAAGCGTGGGTAACGAGGAGTGGAAGGGTGGGTGGGAGGGAGGAAGGGTGGGACAGAGGGATTGTGGGAGGGAGGGAGGGAAGATAGTGTGGGGAGGGAACGGGAGAGGGAAGGGGGGTTGGGTAGTGGGTAACCACAAGTGGGGGACGTTGTTGGAGGAAGTAAAAGGGGGAGAGGATGGGAAGGAAGAAGGGAGAGGGGTGGGAAGGAGAGGGAAGGGAGGGAAACAGTTAGAAGGGGGAAGGAGGGAGAGGTGTGGGAGGGAGGTAACGAGGGGAGGGGGTTTAAGAGGAAAAAGATAATCACAGAAGTGTTATCTGTAAAATCTTGCTATTATAAGCTTCCTGGGTCAGTGGTGCAGCGTTGAGCCAGCTACTGCCACCACCACAGTTCGAGTCCCCGAGTTTATGAAATCTCTCTTTCTCTTATTCTATATATATATATATATATATATATATATATATATATTATATATATATATATATTATATATATATATATATATATATATATATATATATATATATATATAAAAATATTCATATTATTTTCAAAACTGCTTTTTATGAAACAAAATTCAATTATATTTCTGTCGACCATGGACTTGCTTGATACTACTTTCTCAACTTTTTGAAAATCAATTGGATGGTTAAAATCTCTCACATGAATAAATAGAGCATTGGAATCTTGTCCAGTTCTAATGCTATATTTATGTTGTTTTAATCTAAGTTCGAGATTTTTACCAGTTTGACCGTAATAAACTTTATCGCAAATTTTACAAGGAATCTTATAGACTCATCCGTCAGCATTTTGGGGGAAATTCTTTATCAAAAGTTTTTTTTACTGTATCAAGATTTTTAAATACAACTTTAATATGAAAAGTCTTAAGAAGAGAAGGCATATCAACCAAGTTTTCATGGTAATGAAGAACCAACATATTTTTAGTTGAATAAGGCTGGTTGTCCCTTTTTGGGTTGTAAAAAGTATTTCTAGTAATTTTAAATGATTTATCAGTTACATTTCTCTGGTATTTCAGATCAATGGCTATCCAAAATTTATGAAATAGCCATTGATCTGAAATACCCGAGAAATGTAATTGATAAATCATTTAAAATATAATATTACTTCAGACTTGCTAGTCATAAACACTTTATTATTACTCCAGAGTTGCAAACCATAAACATTTAATTATTCCACCAGACTTGCTAGACATTATCACTTTATTATTCCGCCAGACTTGCTAAACATTATCAGACTTTCAGTGTGGTTTACACATAGACAAAAGTGAGTCAAAATTAATTTCCCTAAACTTTCTACAGTCTGAATTAAATTTACCATAAAATTAATTAGTCTCGTTGTAACTAAGCTCTCACGCAAAGCTTCTCTAACAGTAAATGAAAATGAAAAATTGGGATTTATGAATGAGTTTACATGTTAGCAATCTATTGTCGATGTATAATAAAATAAAAATTTCTATTGCTCACTCAGGATATATACCCCAAAAAGTGTATATCTCTCAGTATATACATGATTAGAATTTACTTTAATCCCCATTTTAAGGATTAAAGTCTTCTTGACTTGGTGGTAAACATGTTATATGCGACCTCAGTAACCTTCGTGTAGTCGATTTAACATTAACCTGACCATATTACTCAAAGGATTCATACCAACTGTTATATTTTCAATATTATTAGGAAATACATAATATTTCTAACTCTGGGAGACACAGTATTTCTTTTGATCAATGAATCAATTGTTCTAAAAGTTGATCAGCATAATCACAAGTATCTCTAGCCACACCAACATCCACTTCAACACCCCAACAATGTCACTCAAACTACCCACATCAACACCCACACGAGCTATCCACACTTCAGTATATCTGCGTCTACTACCTCCTCCAGTATAGCTAATAATATCTTTATTTCTACATGTACAAGGTATACAGACCTAGTTGAGAGCAATAACATACTACTATATGGAAAGCCACTTATTATGCAGAGCATTTCGGGCAAATTAGATCAATTTTGTCGCAGGATGCGACCCACACCAGTCGACTAACTCGCAGGTACCCATTTTACTGATGCGTGAAGATAGACAACTGGTGTAAGGAAACACTCCAAATGTTTCCACCCTCTCCGGGAATCGAACCCGGACACTCAGCGTGTGAAGAGAGAGATTTTTCCACCAGGCTACTGCCTCCTCCAGTGTTTCTACGTTTACTACCTCCTCCAGTATAACTGGGTTTGCTGTCTCCTCCAGTATTTGTGCGTCTGCTGCCTCCAGTATTTCTGCGTCTGCTGCCTCCTCCAGTATTTGTGTGTCTGCTGCCTCCTCCAGTATTTCTGCGTCTGCTCCCTCCTCCAGTATTTCTGCGTCTGCTCCCTCCTTCAGCATTTCTGCGTCTGCTGCCTCCTCCAGTATTTCTGCGTCTGCTGCCTCCTTCAGTATTTCTGCGTCTGCTGTCTCCTCCAGTATTTCTGCGTCTGCTGCCTCCTTCAGTATTTCTGCGTCTGCTGCCTCCTCCAGTATTTCTGCGTCTGCTGCCTTCTCCTAGAGCTCAGCACCAACCTTTCATGATAAGGTGCCTCGATTTGTTTCGGGTAAGGAGAGGCGTGCTGTGCCTGCCAGCCTTGTCTGACTTTTTGCCTGCTTGCTTTCATTCTTTGCTTGCCTGTCTGCTTGATTCCTTCCTTCCTTTCTTCCTACAGTCCTTCCATATCTCCGACCTTTCTTTCTTTCTTCCTTCCGTCCTCCATTCCCTCCTTCCTACACTCATCCATTCTATCTTCCCTTTCTGCCTGCCTAAATTTGTTGTGGTCTGTGTATGTTATGTGTGTGATTAGCTGTGTATTAATGTGACAAAAAGTGAGAAGAAGAAGAAGAAGAAGAAGCAATATTTGTAATATAACATAAAATATTAATATCAGTAATAAAAGAAAAATGGGAGTTTAATCAGAGATTCAGCAAAATACCTTTAATTTCGGAATTCTCTGAAATTTTTAGTGATAAGCCTTTGTGCCACTGAGACCTGAGGTGGAACAAGGTGGTGATGTCAACACCAGAATGAGCCCACAGGGGGAAATTGAGGGGTTTTGCTCGCTCTCTCTCTCTCGCTTTCTCTTTAAACGTTCGTACTGTTACTCACAAAAATACACATAGCCCATTGCTTTAATTTTGGGTTAAAATAAAGCAATTGTATTTTCCCCTAGAACCATCTGCTTCCAAGTGGTGAAGATGAGGTTAGAAAGTACTCGTAAGAGTACATGGGGTGTGCAGGAAAGTAAACGAGAGTACATAAAGGTCTTATCACTAAAGCTACTACTCTCATCTACCAGACTTCACTTCTTTGACTCTCTGTTAGATAGGGTTTGAATTCTATCAACTGCATGAGGGTCATTAAGGCTACAATAAACATTTTCAACACCGGACAAGAATACTACAATCCCTAAAATACGGACTGAGGTAAATTCTCGTTGAATATACGAGGCGAGAAATACACCTCTCGGTGTTTACATGCTGTGTAGCGAGGGGGTGGCTTTTGTAAGTTAGTAAAAAAACTATTTTATTTTACATAGCATTAATCTAAGAAATTACTGAGAAAAAAAAACACGGCTATTAGGATCTTGATACAGTATATCAGATGGGATTTTTTAGGTCATGTTATTTATGTATGTAATTAAAGTATTATGATAATCCTCGCTAATTATCTCTCATTATCTTCTAATAATTAGGAAATTTAATGGTATTATTCCTAGTAATGGCTTTAGTTTTTATATAACATTAGTGAAATAAAATGAACGTCAATTCAGTCCACATTTTCTACTTTTTGTTATTCCATTTATCATTATTTACAGATGAGTGTCAGTGACCTTCAGACTCTGAGAGTTCTCTCAAGATGAGTGTCAGTGACCTTCAGACTCTGAGAGTTCTCTCAAGATGAGTGTCAGTGACCTTCAGACTCTGAGAGTTCTCTCAAGATGAGTGTCAGTGACCTTCAGACTCTGAGAGTTCTCTCAAGATGAGTGTCAGTGACCTTCAAACTCTGAGAGTTCTCTCAAGATGAGTGTCAGTGACCTTCAGACTCTGAGAGTTCTCTCAAGATGAGTGTCAGTGACCTTCAAACTCTGAGAGTTCTCTCAAGATGAGTGTCAGTGACCTTCAAACTCTGAGAGTTCTCTCAAGATGAGTGTCAGTGACCTTCAAACTCTGAGTTCTCTCAAGATGAGTGTCAGTGACCTTCAAACTCTGAGAGTTCTCTCAAGATGAGTGTCAGTGACCTTCAGACTCTGAGAGTTCTCTCAAGATGAGTGTCAGTGACCTTCAAACTCTGAGAGTTCTCTCAAGATGAGCGTCAGTGACCTTCAGACTCTGAGAGTTCTCTCAAGATGAGTGTCAGTGACCTTCAAACTCTGAGAGTTCTCTCAAGATGAGTGTCAGTGACCTTCAGACTCTGAGAGTTCTCTCAAGAAGAGTGTCAGTGACCTTCAAACTCTGAGTTCTCTCAAGATGAGTGTCAGTGACCTTCAAACTCTGAGAGTTCTCTCAAGATGAGTGTCAGTGACCTTCAAACTCTGAGAGTTCTCTCAAGATGAGTGTCAGTGACCTTCAGACTCTGAGAGTTCTCTCAAGATGAGTGTCAGTGACCTTCAAACTCTGAGAGTTCTCTCAAGATGAGTGTCAGTGACCTTCAGACTCTGAGAGTTCTCTCAAGATGAGTGTCAGTGACCTTCAAACTCTGAGTTCTCTCAAGATGAGTGTCAGTGACCTTCAAACTCTGAGAGTTCTCTCAAGATGAGTGTCAGTGGCCTTCAAACTCTGAGAGTTCTCTCAAGATGAGTGTCAGTGACCTTCAAACTCTGAGAGTTCTCTCAAGATGAGTGTCAGTGACCTTCAAACTCTGAGTTCTCTCAAGATGAGTGTCAGTGACCTTCAAACTCTGAGAGTTCTCTCAAGATGAGTGTCAGTGACCTTCAAACTCTGAGAGTTCTCTCAAGATGAGTGTCAGTGACCTTCAAACTCTGAGAGTTCTCTCAAGATGAGTGTCAGTGACCTTCAAACTCTGAGAGTTCTCTCAAGATGAGTGTCAGTGACCTTCAAACTCTGAGAGTTCTCTCAAGATGAGTGTCAGTGACCTTCAAACTCTGAGAGTTCTCTCAAGATGAGTGTCAGTGACCTTCAAACTCTGAGAGTTCTCTCAAGATGAGTGTCAGTGACCTTCAAACTCTGAGAGTTCTCTCAAGATGAGTGTCAGTGACCTTCAAACTCTGAGAGTTCTCTCAAGATGAGTGTCAGTGACCTTCAAACTCTGAGAGTTCTCTCAAGATCTTGTCTGGCTTATATGTTGTATTTATTTAAATATCTGAAGTTTCTTAAAGAATTCATGAGGAGGAGGAGAGTGAAGAATTCATGAGGAAGAGGAGAGTGAAGAATTCATGAGGAAGAGGAGAGTGAAGAATTCATGAGGAGGAGGAGAGTGAAGAATTCATGAGGAAGAGGAGAGTGAAGAATTCATGAGGAGGAGGAGAGTGAAGAATTCATGAGGAAGAGGAGAGTGAAGAATTTAAGATTATTAACCCTCTATATTAATAACCGGGTAGTTTAACAACCCAGCGTAATATAATTAACTCAGGATATCATCGGGGACTGTCAGTCTGATAACCATTAGGATCATTTGATCCTCTCGCCCCCAGGATGCTCCCCACACTAATTGGTTAACTCCCAGACACACTGTTACTGCTAGCAGCTAGCGTAACAGGGGCAGCATATACAACGAAATGCGTTTGCCCAGCGTTCCTACTCGTGCCGGGGATTGAACTTCGGCCCCTCAGCGTGTGAGCTAAGGCAGCTACCACTACACTAATAAGAAAGAGAGTCGAACATACAACAGTGTAGCCTTAATGAGACTTAAGTGTCAGGCTAATTCCCGAGCAGTCAGTCAGCCATCAGCATTCAAGAAGAGTGGTGGTGTCTGTAGGGCGTGTACACACGCGCACACGCACACGCACACACACACACAGCGTCCACAATCCCACAAGAAAAGAGAATTATAGTCTCCGGGATAATATTCCTCCTTTGTTACCGAGATTTACCTGGGAACACTCACATTTGGGAATAGCCCGTCAAGAAGGGGTTCCAGTACTTGTCCTGGAGGCTCCAACACTTGTCCTGGAGGCTCCAACACTTGTCCTGGAGGTTCCAACCGGTGTCGACGGAGGCAGGTGTGGGCGGCTATAGGAGTGGGCATGACAGGTGTGTACGGATGCAGGCGTGGGTGGAAACAGGTGTGGGCGCGACAGGTGTGAACGGAGGCAGGTGTGGGCAGAAGCATGTGTGGGCTGGACCGTAGGTACGTGTTTGGGGGTGGGACGGTCACGCTTCGTCTCACATTTACAAAAGTCTGATAACATCATCTCAAGAACAGATGACGGACACACCTTCCACGTTTTGGTCACTTCTCAATGATTTGTACTGGAGTTGAGTGAGGCAGAAAGTGATGTTTAGTGATTCAGAAAGTGTTTCTGAGTTTATACTAAACTTGCATCTCAAGTGTCTCCCTGTGTAAGAAAAGCACCACATAAGAGCTCTCTTACTTGTCCTATCTCTCGTCCTCTAGCTTTTCCTCTCCTACCTAGCTTATTCTCTCACTCTTCTCTCTCTCTCTCTCTCTCTCTCTCTCTCTCTCTCTCTCTCTCTCTCTCTCTCTCTCTCTCTCTCTCTCTCTCTCTCTCTCTCTCTCTCTCTCTCTCTGCCTCTCCCACTACCTTCTAAAGTCTAAACATATCTCTCATTTCCTATGTCTCAACCTGTGTCTCCTCCTCTACTTGTCCCATCTTCCTCTACCTATCTATCCCACTCACCCTTCTCACTATATCTCTCCCTGTTCTTGTCCCCTCTCACTTTCCTATATTTTCCTATCTTTCTATCCAATAAACGCCAGTTTCTCCTTTCCTTCCCCTTTTCAAGCTGCAAACACTGTTCTTCACTGCGTATCGAATGCAATAAGTTGACTCTCTCTCTCTCTCTCTCTCTCTCTCTCTCTCTCTCTCTCTCTCTCTGTCTCTCTCTCTCACACATACACACACACACACAGGATTTCATCAATACAGACAGCATATCCATCGCCAGGAATCAGATTAGCCTAATAGTTTAATTAGTGAATTAGTTAATTATTGAATACAAATTAAATAACCCATAATAACTTACTATAAATTACCTGTAAAAAAGAAATCTGAAGTGTTAATACAAATGATAACAATGTTTAATATTACCGCAATTATTGCATAATCGCCTGAGATTCGTCTCTGCGCGCCCTTCTCAATAACAACATTCACGCACGTGATTTTTGTTGTCGTTGGCCCTTTAAACTGCTTGATTTAACTCCCGCCATTCAAGGCCATTTAATTCAGATATCAAACGACGACATTTACGCCAAGTAATTACGCTCTTCCATTTAAACCCTGGCTTTCAGACTGCACCATTTAAACCGCATCATTTAATTCCGTCATTTAAACGTTTGTAGTTCCTTTTGCGAATGATAGTAAAACAAATTTTAATCTCCGATATTTAAACCTTTATTTAAGGAGTAACATTTAAATGAGTCATGTGAATATTTTGCCTTTGTACCAGTGAATAGATTTTTAAAATGATGGCACTGGCGTTCTTGAATGATGGCACTGGCGTTCTTGAATGATGGCACTGGCGTTCTTGAATGATGGCACTGGCGTTCTTGAATGATGGCACTGGCGTTCTTGAATGATGGCACTGGCGTTCTTGAATGATGGCACTGGCGTTTCTTGAATGATGGCACTGGCGTTCTTGAATGATGGCACTGGCGTTCTTGAATGATGGCACTGGCGTTCTTGAATGATGGCACTGGCGTTCTTGAATGATGGCACTGGCGTTCTTGAATGATGGCACTGGCGTTCTTGAATGATGGCACTGGCGTTCTTGAATGATGGCACTGGCGTTCTTGAATGATGGCACTGGCGTTCTTGAATGATGGCACTGGCGTTCTTGAATGATGGCACTGGCGTTCTTGAATGATGGCACTGGCGTTCTTGAATGATGGCACTGGCGTTCTTGAATGATGGCACTGGCGTTCTTGAATGATGGCACTGGCGTTCTTGAATGATGGCACTGGCGTTCTTGAATGATGGCACTGGCGTTCTTGAATGATGGCACTGGCGTTCTTGAATGTTTTTATAGTTTCATGTATGTAGGATTACAGCGATGATATACATTACTGTGTTATGTTGTGTTATAGTATGTTATACCATGTTATATTGCGTTATACTTTGTTATAGTATGTTATACCATGTTATATTGCGTTATACTTTGTTATAGTATGTTATACCATGTTATATTGCGTTATACTTTGTTATAGTATGTTATACCATGTTATATTGCGTTATACTTTGTTATAGTATGTTATACCATGTTATATTGCGTTATACTTTGTTATAGTATGTTATACCTGTTATATTGCGTTATATTTTGTTATAGTATGTTATACCATGTTATATTGCGTTATACTTTGTTATAGTATGTTATACCATGTTATATTGCGTTATACTTTGTTATAGTATGTTATACCATGTTATATTGCGTTATACTTTGTTATAGTATGTTATACCATGTTATATTGCGTTATGCTTTGTTATAGTATGTTATACCATGTTATATTGCGTTATATTTTGTTATAGTATGTTATACCATGTTATATTGCGTTATACTTTGTTATAGTATGTTATACCATGTTATATTGCGTTATACTTTGTTATAGTATGTTATACCATGTTATATTGCGTTATACTTTGTTATAGTATGTTATACCATGTTATATTGCGTTATACTTTGTTATAGTATGTTATACCATGTTATATTGCGTTATACTTTGTTATAGTATGTTATACCATGTTATATTGCGTTATACTTTGTTATAGTATGTTATACCATGTTATATTGCGTTATACTTTGTTATAGTATGTTATACCATGTTATATTGCGTTATACTTTGTTATAGTATGTTATACCATGTTATATTGCGTTATACTTTGTTATAGTATGTTATACCATGTTATATTGCGTTATACTTTGTTATAGTATGTTATACCATGTTATATTGCGTTATACTTTGTTATAGTATGTTATACCATGTTATATTGCGTTATACTTTGTTATAGTATGTTATACCATGTTATATTGCGTTATACTTTGTTATAGTATGTTATACCATGTTATATTGCGTTATACTTTGTTATAGTATGTTATACCATGTTATATTGCGTTATATTTTGTTATAGTATGTTATACCATGTTATATTGCGTTATACTTTGTTATAGTATGTTATTACCATGTTATATTGCGTTTATACTTTGTTATAGTATGTTATACCATGTTATATTGCGTTATACTTTGTTATAGTATGTTATACCATGTTATATTGCGTTATACTTTGTTATAGTATGTTATACCATGTTATATTGCGTTATACTTTGTTATAGTATGTTATACCATGTTCTATTGCGTTATACTTTGTTATAGTATGTTATACCATGTTATATTGCGTTATACTTTGTTATAGTATGTTATACCATGTTTATATTGCGTTATCTTTGTTATAGTATGTTATACCATGTTATATTGCTTTTATACTTTGTTATAGTATGTTATACCATGTTATATTGCTTTTATACTTTGTTATAGTATGTTATACCATGTTATATTGCGTTATACTTTGTTATAGTATGTTATACCATGTTATATTGCGTTATACTTTGTTATAGTATGTTATACCATGTTATATTGCGTTATACTTTGTTATAGTATGTTATACCATGTTATATTGCGTTCTAATTTCTTATAGTATGTTATTTTGTGCTATATTGTTATACTGTGTTATAGTATGTTACACTGTGTTATATTGTTATACTATGTTAAATTGTTATACTGTGTTATAGTATGTTATACTGTGTTATATTGTTATACTGTGTTATATTGTTATACTGTGTTTTATGTTATACTGTGTTATACAGTGTTATAGTATGATATACTGTATTATACTTTGTTATACTATATATTCTGTGGTTTGTGTCTTACACTGCATTATACTGTATTATACAGTGTCATAACATACTGTTATTTTATGTTTCAACTTGTTAAAAACGTGTTGTATTTTTTTTTTTTGACAAAGTTAGGTTAAGGATTCCTAACTTTATTGGCAAGCTAAGAGCTGTTACCTACATCAGCTCATTTGAAAGCATTTTTATTGTTATGAGACATACAAGTAGGGAACAGGATGAAGTTGGAGCCATCTGTGGGTCAGCATTTTCATTTGATCAACTGACTTTATCTCGTTGACATCATTATGTTGTACGAATGTGTTCCATACTCGAGTCATCCTGGGTATGTATGATCTCAAATGGAGTGATGTTCTGGTGAAGGGTACAGCCAGAGTGAAGTTGCTGCTTTCTGCCCGTCTTGTGGCATAAAAGCTTGTTTCACTCTGTCCTCGAAGTGGATCCAAGTGTGGGACTTTGACACTATTGGCCTTGTACATAACAGTAAGGCCACCCACATCCCTCCTGTGTTGAAGGCTCTGCTGAAGTGAAGCATAATATTTTTTGCCTGTAAATAATATTTGTTGCAACAAGTAAGATACGAAAAGTATATTACATCTCGCTATCCATAAATGTCGAAACACTGGACTGTGTAGTTGACGTGATCCCATGAGCATGGCTTTACTGTGGCTCTTAATCCTCCCGGCAGGACTGAAGTTGCTATCACAGGGGCATTACCACTAAATGGTTATAACTATGGCCGTAATTTTTAAAGGGGTTGACCGGTAAGCCAGCGGAAGGCCTCGGTCAGATGACCAGAAGCTCCAACGGCGGGTCATCATCCGACTAAGACCCGCGTCAGAAAATACTTGTTCTGTTTCCTGACGAACTTTACCTAACCTGGAGGCAAATCCACCATCACACAAAATAGTGTGAGTTCAATCTCAAACTGCGGCAGACCTGGAGGTTCTGCCACACGGGCACCATCACACAGGATGATGAAAAATTTCCTTGAATTCTTCCAGCAGGACTGGAGTTTCTATCACACGGTCCCCATCACTGTCACACAGGATGACACATTATTTCAATCCCAGGTAATGACAACAGGGCAGGAACACAGCACACACTCAGCACGCTGCCATGGCCACTTACTTGCTACAACCACACTTTGGGTGACAATAACAATAAAAATATCGTTCAGGACATACAGATATTAGGGAGAGAGGGACGCGAATCCAACAACAGAGCCCGATACATGATGATAGCACA